ATGCTGGGAGTACAGGGGACCAGTGTGCCTAATGTGGTTCTGTTGACCTCTGGCCTTTCAGCAGCTGTCATTTAGGAATGCTTTTGTTGATAATTGAAGACTCTTGGATCAGCTGGAAAGCAGTAGTCCAGGTACATAGCTGTGGTTCTAAGCTTCTTCCAAATGTTTTCCATGAGAAGACACAACATGAATAAATGATCCTCTGCTAGAAAAAGTAAAAGAACCTGCCTTATAGATTGTGAGACATTCCCTAGGACAATTCCGGATTCTGACACAGCGCATTGACTGTTTCAGGATAAAGTAGCTTTAAAAAAAAAACCCCAAAAAACACTTTGATGTTATTTTCAAAAATGAATGAAGCAGTATGAAGTCACACTTGATATGTAGATTTTAAAGTTAATTAGAACAGAACATGGATTTTAGGTTTTAAATATTCAGACTAATAGCATACCTTTTGAAAGCAATCTTTTAGTGTTCTATAGAATTTTCGTTATGTGTTTAAAAGGGCTTTCATAGAATCCATTTTTAAATTTCGGAATTTAATATCTATTTCTATTGTTGCAACAATTATTCTCTAACCATTCTGTTTCATAAAGCAAAGTTTGGGGAAATTAAAGGACACTTTCTAAATATTCTTTTGATTTTGAGGCCTCTTAATACTTTCCTAAAATTCTTATTCTGATCAGATGTTCAGTTTAAAAATGATCTCCCAGGGTAAGTCTCTTCTTCCCAAATCTTGGTTCATAGACACAACATTCCTAGTTTTTCTTAGGATGTCCCATTCCTTTTTTCAGTTTACTCCCCTTCGAAGAGAGAAGAGGAGACAAGAAAAAAGAGAAGTATGCATGCACAGAACATTTTCTATTTTATCTTTCCTAATTTGTATTTTATACTCTGTACCATGCTTGGATTTCTTAATTTCCTAGAGCAGTCATGTGACTCCTAGAAATCTGCTGTGTAATTAATCCAGTGTCAGTATCATGAGACAAAATGTACTATGGGAGAAAGAGGCAAGGTCAGTGGAGGGCAGTTGATGGGGTAAAACCTGAGCCCTCTTCCTTGGAAAAAGGCAAAGGTTAGTAAGATAGAAGAGAGTGGAAAGTTTATGCTACGAGTGTGGAATGGACTGAGACAGGGAGAGATGGGGCATATGTGTGATGTATCTGGGAGAATCAATTGATCTGGAATAGAAGATGTACTGAAACAGAATCTAAAAATCCACCATGATCCCTGTTAGGTTGTAGGAGATTAAAACATCCTATTCACAATAAAAATACATCTTTTAAATGAATAAAAGCTGGCTATTTTAGGTTTGTTGGAGGTGGAGAGAAAGCTATGACAATAAGAGCAAATCTCCAATGTCAATCACCTGTGGCATAGTAACTAACTTAGAATAATATTGAAATGTCTTTGCATATGGCATTCTCCACAAGCCCGTCTTCTTTTATGTGTATGCATGCAAGTATATAAATTGCTGCATCCATGTCAGTTGTAAAGTAATGGCACGGAGGGCATCATAAATTACTGGAGTGATCCTCAGGAGAAGACACTGTCGTGTCTGAATGAGTGTTTCACTGCCAGAGTAATGTATGCCTTCATCTGGCCCAGCAGTCAGCATATTGCCCCGTGTTGATGGATATTGTCAGCTGGAAGCTACACTACATTTCACTGCACAATAAACATGGCTGTCAAACCCATATAAAGTGAAATCAATTTATCCTGTATGGTCAGTGCATTTTAAATGAAATTAATGTACTGTGGGTATGGTGGCAAAAAGGTAGCATATTAGTTATGCATCTTGGGATCTGAGTCTTTTCATGTAAGGGATCATTCTGTCTAGTAGGCCTAAAAGAAGGCCTGTTTATAAAAATGGTTTTGTTTGCAGGGTCCTCAGAAAGTGGCCCCTCTGCCCGCCTTCATGTTTGGAAAAGAATTAACACTACCATCCAGTTTGGCCCTTTTATCCTGTCTTTTGTTTGCAACAAACGATGGTCATATTTGCCAAATAATAGTGTACTTTATTGTTCTGATTTATTCCTATATCCGACACAAATGAATTTCTGCACAATCAAGGTATCTGGAAATGGAGGAGATGGGCCAGGGATTGGTTGAGTCCTGTTGTTCCTGTATAATCAGTCCACTGAGCTGAAAGGATTTACTTTGTCCAGAAAGTAAAAATGTTGGTTTTAATATATATTTTGCTCCTAAGCTTTGGGGAGTAGGTTTTCTGCTTTATGCAGTAGAAGTGCTGGCTTGCCGTCTGTCTGTCCAACACTACATTTAACTAGAAAAGCTCTCAATCTACAGGGAGATGTTCATCATTGACACATTGTGAAGCATGCATCAGTGTGTCATGCTGGTGCATGGAAGCAAGTGGGAACTATGTTCACTCATTCCATTGATTTATTCAATCATTCACTAATTTAACACACGCTACTAACTGAAACTCTACATGCCAGGTGCTTTACTGGGACCCAGACCGGTTCCTGCCACATCCTCAAGGAGCTTTCAATCTAGGGTGTTACTAGACTCACCTTTTCAGAAACTATAACTAATGTCAGGAATTTAGACACAGTTTTGCAGGGGATGTTAAAGAACTACCCTTAAACAGCAGGAAGATATATCAGGACCCTTGGAATGCATGCCTTTAGTCTACTACTTTTGCATATGACTTGAAGACCAAACAATCTTTTACATTAAATAAAGATATACTATGTGGGAAATCCTGGGATACAAGAGGGAGTAAACATAAACACCAGCTTTAGGGGTCTCATATTCCTGGGGATGGAGTAGAAAAATTAGAGAGAGATAGTCACACAGACAAGTAATAACTTTGAAGCATATAGCATAAAGGCAACAAAATGAATGCAGCCTGGAGGCATCATTACAGATGCTGTTCCTGTCCCTTCCCATCTGTCTTAGCTCACATGCTAATTCTTACTCATCCTCCAGGACTCAGCTTAGATAGGACCTCTCCTAGGGCACTAGCTGGCTGTCCTGTCCGGTGCCCTCTCAGAACCCTGTTTACTTCAGTGTTATAAGCACTTACCTTATACGCCGTGACAATTGTCTCTTGGGGTCTGTCTCCCCACTGAATTGTGAGCTACTTAAAAGCAGGGGCTATTTTATTCACCTTTGTATCCCTAGCACCTGGCCTAAAACCTAACTCACAGTAATGGCTCAATTAATATTTTTATTGACTTAATTAATTCATGAAACACAACACATTTGAACAGGCCTTGAGGGAAGAGTGGGACTTAGTGTGAAGAGTGGGAGAAGGGGCTTCCTCCCAGGCACTGAGAAGACCACTGGCCGAGGCCCAATATTGTGAAAGAGATTCTACTG